CCAAAGGGAAAGAAAATGGTGTCAAGACACGAGAAGGTCACTGAGGATCTGGGCAGAAAGTGCAAATTCGGCGACCAAGAGTTGGACAGTCAGGAATAAGGGATCCGTGGCAACTGACAGCACATGGTCCTACTTCACAGAAGTAATTGTGGGGGCGCCTGGGTGGCTCAGTCGTTAAGCATCTGCCTTTGGCTCAGGTCGCGGTCCCAGGGTCCTGGGATCGAGCCCCGCATCGGGCTCCCTGCTCCGCGGGAAGCCTGCTTCTCCCCCTGCTTGTTGCTTCCCCTACTTGTGCTCTGTCAAATAAATAAATAAAATCTTAGGAAAAAAAAGGAAGAGGTAATAATATCTCTTTGTAGATATTATCATCATACATCTGGAATACTCAAAGACTAAATTAAAACTACTATAAAGAATGAGGTAATTTAGTATATAGCAGATTATAAAATTGACATACAGGAAACAATAGGCATTTTATACACACATGAATACAGATACAACCCTGCAATGTCCCGTTAAAGATGACAAAAAGGAGAGACTCCCTTACAATAATAAAAATAAACAAAAAGCTGGAGAATAGCTTCAACAAGAATGTGCCAAACCTTTACGATTAAAACTATAAAGCATTCTGAAAGACACAATGTAGACTTAAATAAAAAGCAAGACAATGTTCTCGGACATGATGACTGCGCATCGTAAACATGCCCAAGGTGCAGAAAGGACAGGTTGATGGGGGGGCGGGGGAGGACTCCAGGATGGATGGGAGGCTGACAACAGCAGAGCCCACAGATCACTCTCATCGCCACTCAGAGTGGGGTAACCTGACGTGGGTGTTTCCTGATCCGATGCCCTGAGCAGTATATACGGCCCCACCTATGGAAGATTTGTGCCCAAAGAATGAAAGCAGAGTCTAATCAATTTAACGGCAGGTTTACAGGAAATAGGAAGAGGAGAAGCATAGAAAGGATATTCTGGGAGGCCATGAACCAAATCCAGGAGGTCTACAGGACAATCTACCTGCATAGATTACAAGATACCTGAGACACATCAACCACCCGCTGTCTGTGGAAAGACACTAGAGATCAGTGAGGACATCTGAAAACACACTGGGTATGAGAGGGTATTAAGGAATTACAGTTAATTTTGTCAGGTGTGATAATGGCATGGTGGCTATCAGGAATAAAAGTCTCGTCTGTAAGATACGCAAGAAAATGCTTGTGGGTGAGATTCTCAAGTACTTAAAATACTTCAGCAAAACAAACAAAATGGATCCCCATTCCGTATGGGGGGAAAGGAAGCAGGATGGGCACATTATTGAAAACCGCATGGGCGTCTACATCTGACACCAACAGACGTTGTGCCCTGGGTTCATCTGTTAGCTTCAGGAATGTTGTTCGACTGCACCCCCTCTCCTACCCTGTTCTGCCTCATCAGTTTGTCCCCTTCTGTGCACATACCCAGGCTCGTTACCCCCGGTTCAACCCACCCAGGAAGCCAGGCTTCTCCGAGGCCCAACAAAGCTCAAAGCGAGGTCATCCCTCTTACCTCCCCTCCTCTTGGCGCCCACCCCTCACAACACTGGAACTTTCCCTGATGATATCACCATCCATCTCCAGGTGACCAGATCCCAAGGTGGGTCACTCACTCCTCTTTATTCAGCCCTGAACAGCATGTGTTCCTCGGTCCCCTTCTTAAAACACATTCTTCTCTTGCTTCCAAAGACACCACCACCTCTGCCTAAGTGACCTCAGTCAGGCCCTGGCTTTAATGATCATGTGTATTTTTTTAATGCCTCCTACATTTATCATTTCAGTCTGGACCTGTGTTCTGGACCCCCGTTCAATCAACAGCCCGTCAACACTCCGGAATCGGGGGCCTCTGGAACTCAACACCACGCTAAACCCGAACTCTGCTACTTCCCCCTTTGCCCCAAGTCTCGTCCCCAACTCAAGTGGCAGCATCACCGTCCACCCAGCTGTTTCAGCCAAAGCCCAAAGTCACTCTTGCCATGGAACACGGAGATTCTGCATTGTATTTACAGTTAATTCGTTAGGGCCACTTACTCTTATAAAACGGCCTTTTAATGAGCAGAAATCCTTTTGCCGTTTCTAATTTCCACAGCAAATTAAACGTGAACCACGTGCCATTTCCTCTCCCTGGGACTCTCTTCCCTGCTTTAAGAATCTAGCTCTCTTATTTTCAAGGTCCAAACTTAGAGGTCACCTCCAGAGATGGGAATTTCTTCCCCATCTGAGCAAACTCACCAGATTACCCTGTTCTATTTCCTCTGTAGGATTGTGCACCCCAAGCTGCTCGTTGGTCTTTTTCCAAAACGAGAGCTGCGTGAGAGCAGGGCCTGGGTTCTGGTCGCTGCTGTTACCTGGAGCCCCCAGCAGAGTTCACAGTGCCAGTCTGATGTTTCCCCAGCAAGCATTTGGAACAAGAACAGTCCGTCTGCTTGGGCTGCTGTAACAAAATACCAGACACTGGGTGGCTTAAACAACACACATTTATTTCTCAAGGTTCTAGAGGCTGGGAAGTCCAACATCAAGGTGCCGGTAGACTGGGTGTCTGGTGAGGACCTTCTTCCTGGCCTGTAGACAGCTGTCTTCTGTGTCCTCACTTGGCCTTGCCTTTCTGCGTCTTCCTCTTCTTATCAGGGTGCTAATCCCATCACGGGGTCCCACCCTCATGACCTCAGCTAACCCTAACCACTTCCCAAAGGCTCCACTAGGAGCCTGGAGGTTAGGGCATCAGCATATGAATGTGGGGGGACACAGTCGGCCCAAAACACGAACATTCTTCTTCCTGGGTCAGTTCCTAAAATGAGGCAACTGGCTGATCTCTGACATTCTTCCTGCTCTGACGTCCTGATGCTCAGTCCCTACCAAGAGGGGTCTGTCTAGGAACAGCTCCCACACACCACACTCTTACCAAACTCTTATACTGGCAAGCCCTGTGCAAGGCAACGGGGTTAAAATCACAAGAGGGGCTCCACGTCTATCTGTCTGGGTGAGACTGGGATCAGGGAATATAAAATAGGAGAAGCCGTACTTTCCTTAGAGAATTCTCTTATTAGATACTTAAAATACATATCAATCCCCCCCCATCTCTCTGTGACGAGGAAGCTACAGACTGTGGTAACACACAAGTGGCGAGGACCAGCACACCACACGGGATGGATCGCTTCTCCTGGAAGGCATCCCTTGGTAGTACCTGAGGCCCTGCTCACCTGCTCAGGGAGAGGGGGACAGGGCACGGGGGGGGGGCTGGGCTGTGACTGCTGGGGACAGTTTCAGGTGAGGAGAGGGACTCCTGCTGACAAGGACAGTGCCTGGTGAGTGCCCCCACAGGGAGGAGGGACCACACAGAGGGACCTCGAACACGAGGAGCTGCTGACAAAGACTTTCTGCGGTCACTGACTCCAAGGGTTCTCAGATCATGCCTCCAAGAACACTGGGGTTCTGAGCATTTGGATTACACGCGAGCAAAAAAAGGGAGGGAGGGAGGGGGGAAAAACAGATTTCCAGCCTTCTCACCCAAGTAAAAAAAATACGCTACATTCATGAGTATTCTTTCCCTTTCCAAATTTCTAATTTGGTGACTGACTGCCTGTTCTTGCTTCTCTCCAGGAATCCAGGTCACGGATAGAAGCTGGTTCAAGCACAAATATAGATAACTGTTTTACATTTAATCAATCAACATTGCAAAGTGTTCACACTACATACAACTTCATAACACCAAGGTGTGTGGGCACCGTTAAAAAGAAGAGGCCCCTTCGACCTCTGTCCCTCTACACATGGGCCACCCAAGGGCGTCCGCAGCGTTCGCCTGCTCGGCCTCCTGCTAGGTCGTGAGCCGTGGACGTGGCCCAGTGGGCTCCTTGGTCCTGCACGCAGATCTGGGCTCCTCCTGGGCCTTCCCGCGAACTGTACCAGAGCCTGCCTGCGCAGCGGGGGCTTTTATAGGCACGGTCAAGTGCAGACATGCACCACGGGCGATGGCTGGTCCCGGGGCTCTAAGGCCTGGCCCCGTCTCAAGTGAGTGGGCCCCATTCCCTTGCAGCCAGAGGCGCACGGAGCTGAGGGAACAGAGTGAGAAGCAGCCATGGGAGGCCACGGGAGAGAGAGGCCAAACACCATCAGGGGACAGAGACACCCGGATGGCAGCTAGAGCTGGGGCAGCTGGAGGAAGCCACACCAACCTGCCTCCTCTCCAGTGCCAATCTGCTGGCGGGGAGGCGGAAGGGGCTGCAGGCAGGCCCCGCAGGCCCTGGGGAGGGCTCATCCTCTGCCCCTCGCTCCCTCCCGGACTGGGGAGTGGCAGAACAGAATACGCAGGGCCGGGAAACGAAGGTGAACGAAGGCCAGCAGCACTTGGACTCCGGGGGCAGGAGGAGACAGGAGCTGCGGGACCTGGGCCCGGAGGCCAAGAGAAGGCCAAGAGAAGACAGAGTCAAAGGCAAAGGGAAGGAGGTGGCAGAGGCGTGGGGCGGGGTGGAGGGTGGGCAGGAGCAGAGCTGCTGGGGTGAGGCTGCTCGGGGAGCTTGGGGGTCACTGCCCCTCTCCCCCCCGCCCCCCGCCGCCCCGAGCTGAGGCCTTACGTCTGAGCCAGGGCAGATTACGAATAGAGCGAGCAGCCCAGGGTCAGAACACCGGGGTTGGGAACCTGCACAGTCACTGTGCTTCCTCAAAGCTCATTTTTGTAACCTAGGAAATGAAATCATTCCTAGCTCAGTCGATGTGATGATCGAGCGGCCGCGCCCTCAACAGCGAGGCACTGTACAGATGTGCGTCCCTACTAGGAAGGGGGCTCCCCTGAAAATTACTAGCCCCCAAGGTGCTAAAGGGGCGAGCCTGGATCCCCAGACCCTGAGACCCACAGAGGGCAGTACCGTTGGGGGTGGGAGTCAGCACTGCCTTCAGTGGGGGGAGGGTGTTCTTTCTTTCTGCCCTGGTCACTCTGGACTGAAGGTGCTGGCCCCGAAGGTACTCACCTGGTCACTCATCTTCCGGGTCCGGCAGCTGCTCAAGGAGCATGTCCTCCTTGCCACTGAACTGCACGAGAGAAGGGGGTGAGAGGCCAGGCCAGGGAACTCTCGTTCTGTCCTTCAACCCCGCTCCAGGCCTTCCAGGAGCTTCCAGGAAGCTGCCTGGGGGCGGGGGATTCTAGGAGCCCCTCCTCCCACCAGCCTTCACCCCCTGGCTGCCCAGCAGAGAGGCCCCCCTGGGCCGAGGGGGCTTCCATTAGACCTCAGAGAGTGGCCCAGGCAGTCACTTCTGACCTTTCTCTAATCCAGTCCTTTAAGAACTTGCAGTGTAAACTCCTTCCCTTGTTTAGCTTTTGGTGCAGAGATGGGGGAGCAGATACAGCTCTGAGGCCAGACGTGGGGGGCGGAGGGGCAGGGCCACCCCAGATGACCCAACGGCCCCTGGGAGAAGGACACACTTGCCTCGATGTGGTACACTATGCGCCAGAAACTCGAGTCTGAGCCTCGGTATCTTCTTCCAGGGTAGAGCTGCCACATGGAAGGCAGCGGGCATGGGGCTAGCAGGCTGGGGCACACAGCCTCCCCCAGGGACACATCCTCCTGACGCATGAGTACCTGGAGGCTACTCTCCGTCTGAAGAGAAGACCGGGGCACGTCTTCAGGGCCCAGGCTCCCCAGCACGCAAATCCCCCCCCCCCCCCCCGCCAGCCCAGCCGGCATCTGAGATGCTGGTGATCACTGTTCCCAGCAACGCCCCCCCTTAAGCCATGCACGCCCCTCTCAGGGACGCTGGCGAGGCCAGGATGACCGGCACTCACAGGTGTCTAGACACCCAGACGGGGCCACATGGAGCCCGCTGCTTCCTGACAGACTTAAAGCTTGTCCCTGAGCTTCCTTAACCGCAGTGTGGTGCTGATGTCAGCTGCCATGGAGTTTTATTTTATTTTATTTATTATTTATTTTAATTTTTTTTTTAAAGTAATCTCTATAGCCAATGTGGGGCTTGAACCCAGAACCCCAAGATCAAGAGTTGCAAGCTCCACTGACGGAGCCAGCCAGGTGCCCCCGTAGAGCACCATTGAAACCACTGAGAGAATACCTTTCCCCACCTCCACCACCACCCCTCTCCTGCAATAAGCTAACTTGCCACCTTATGGTCATATGCCTCCCAATCAGCTCCCCGCACAGCAGCCGGGGTGCGCGTCTAAAAATCATGTCACTCCCCTGCCTGACGCTCTCCAGTGGCTTTTCACGGCAGGTAGGAGGAAATGCAATCTTTACCACGGTCCACAGACCCACTAATGTGGGCCCCTGCCTCCCTCATCTCCCATTCTATCCTTCACCCTCCACCCTGTGGCAGCCACAAGGGCCTCCTCGCTATTTCGGGGACATGTCACATTCCCAGTAATCTCTTGCATTTGTGGTCCTCTGCCTGGAACATTCTCCCTTAGATCTAGACAGGGCTCACACCCTTCTTCGAGACAGGTCTCTGCACAAATATGTCTCTAGGGACACATTTCAGCAAAATCCAACTCTATGAATTACACATGAAGCACGCACGTCTAAAAGGGAGCTTCACAAAGGTCTGCATGACAGGCAAGTGCGAGTTAATACTCTTGAGGGGTCTTGCTTGTAGACCCTGCCCCACTCGTTACTGCCTCTCATCCTGCACAACTTACCAGCAGCCTCCATTTATTTTGATGTCCTGCCCCTCCCCACCCTGCAGTGTCAGCTTCAGAGTAGTGGGATTTTATCAAATTCACTGCAAACCCTCACAGCCTGGAATTGTGCTTGGCATATAAACTAGGCCCTCATGTTGGTTCAATAACTACTTTCCAAAGTGGAAATCGTTTTTTAAATTTTCCATCCATGAAATAAATTGGAATTGTTAAGAAATAATTCAGATCATCCTGCAAGATATAAATGGAAATACCATTCTTGCTGTGTTCGTATATGGTTTTCTATATCCTTCAACCACTTTTGGTCTGCTTGTTCCTTTTTTTTCTTATTGATTTAAGTCAACCTTTACATATTAAGAATACCAGTCCTTTCAATTACATGGGGGTGAATCCTGCCCCACAGTCCGCTAGTGGGTTATGTTTTGCGCATACCTTATAATAATGATTATGTGACCTACACTGCTTTGCGGTTTTGGTGTCATGTTTAAGAAGATATTCGCCAACCAGAGTTTTTAAAAAAGATATTCACATAAATTCTCCTCAAATACCCGACTTAAAAAAAGTAGATATTTGATGTTTAAAAGTACCTATCTGTGTACTTAAAAAAGAAATTAAATGCCAATAAACATGGTGGTTAAGAGCCTGGAATTTCAAGCCTATCACCTATTAGCAGGACTACTTTGGGCAGGTTTACGGGTTGTGACTCAGTTTTCTCATTTGTGAAACAGGGACACAGTCACTACCGTGTAACTTTTTGCTGTTCTATAACGTAACCGTCCTACTAGGACATACTTTAATTTTGCTCTTAGTCCGGCTCTTATACCACTGCGTTCCCGGTGAAGTGTGCTCCCCCGAGGCACGGAGGCGGCCCGACACCCCCGAAGTCCGGGGCAGGTCCCCCCACGTGGCGGCTGCGGACGCCCACGCCGCCCGCCCGGCCCGCCCCAAGGCCGCTGTACCTCGATGGTTATGGGCAGCCAGGTGCGCTGGTTCTCGTCCACGTACACGGACCTCTCCCAGATCCACAGGTGGTCCGGGTGCAAGGCTGTGTGCGCCCTGAAAAACGGGAGCTCGCCCATGGCGCCCCGGGCGACTCCGGAGCCGCCGCTGGAGCCTCTCGAACCGACTCGCTGGTGCGCTGGACGCAGGACCCCGGCGCCTTATAGCGGGACGCGCGCGGGCGCCCCCCAGCGGCGGGGCGGGAGGAGGGCGGGCGCGAGGCAGGATCCGCTCTGGAGCTGGTCTTGCTCCCGGGGACCCTGGCCCCGTTTAGGAGAGCAGCCCCAGCCCCATAGACTCGTGGCTTTTTCCACGCCCCCAGCCCTCCAGCTCCCACTCCCCACTGCTGGGGAGGCACCCCTGTCTGCGGCCTTTGGTCTTTCCTCTGTCAGGAGGTGCCGGCGTCCTCCACTCCCTGGGACGCCCAGACCCCACTGTCCGAGTCAGCCACCGTGTGTGACTGGTCAAGTCACACCCCAGACTGGGACACCAGGCCTCTGCTGGGGACTCACAGTCGATGCCAGGCAACCCAGAGCCAGGACCCCCTCCACGTCTCCTGGGATCAGAAGAGAACCATGCGAGCCTGAGCCAAGCCTGAACTTTCCCAGGTTCACGGCATCACCTTCAGCCTGTGCATGGGGTGTGAGAATCAATTTCCTTGGCCAAGTGCAACTCTTGAAGCCCCAGTCCCCCACCCACACACATTTTCCACGGCTTTGATGATGGTGTGGTCATCTAATGGCTATTGTGAAACACGGTGGTGAAGAAACATGGGTTTTTCCTTTAACAGGCTTTGAATTCATTGGTGAACACATCATTGAAAATGAATGCTTGAAAAGAATCCCTTCTCTCCACTCCAAGATCAATGGAATTGAAAAGTCCCTGGGTTATATGATCAAACCCACTCTCTGTAAATTACAGCAAATAAGGAAAACAATTTCACTTCATTTTGCAGTACACCACATGCCCATTAAGGCAATTAAGAAAATAAAGTACAATGAAAAACATGTAAGCCGAGCTCCGGCCTCGTTGCTCAAACATCACCATTGGCAGCAGTTTGGTGCTTCATCTTCTAGCTCTTTCCTGTCTCTCTGACCAGGCGCTAAGAAAATAACTTTGGGATCTTTTGCAATATCACAAAAGTGAGAATGAGCTTAACCCGGATTCCCTGATAGCAAAGGTATGTATTTGCTTCTCTGCGGATCCAGACAGCCTAATTCCCAAGAAAGTGCTGAGGTGGGCTACGGTAATAAAGATATAATTGGATTTACCAGGAACACAAAATAGAAGACAAAAGCCAAAGCCGAGTGGGGAGTGGAGGAGGCAGACATGAGCCCAGCAAACCTCCTTCCCAGGGCAGCCCCTGGTGGTGCTAGTATTTAATATTCAGACTTGCGGCATTTAGGCTGATTTCCCTGTGGATGGTTCTTAATTCCAGACCCAGATAGCCACTGGGAGCAAGATAATATGCTAATATGTCTGCTGGGGAAGTCTCAGCCCAGTCCTGAGCTTTGAGGTAAAAATGATGACAAATCCAGCTTAAACAGTGTGGCAAGGGAAGGGGGCACCTACGAGCCAGTGTGGCCACTGACCCGCTGTGTCGATGGCTTCAGGACCCAGAAAGCCACTGAAATGCCAATTTCATTACTACTCCTTCTGCTTTTCGAAGAGTCCCCCAAAGAATAAATAATGGAGCAAGATTCAGACTCCCTTGGCTGGATATGCTTCTGAATGTTCTGGGAATATATATGATCCTTACACCCCCGACCCCCTTTCAAAGAACAACATGTGCCTTCTGCATCACATGAGGGCTTCTTAATATTGAGCAAGAGTGTACATCATTCTTGTTAGGATTTAGAAAATCATTTGAGAAGGGGTTCCAAAGCATGAAAGTGTCATAAGATGACTGAGGAGTTCATAGGGCAGCTTCTGGGGGGCCTTTGAGCCTTCTTTATGGAAGTCCCATGAGAAAGGAATAGCTCCTGTGTGGTCTCAGGGACAGGCAAGCCTCTTCAGCGTGTTACCTGCCCCATCTTAGGGCTTGAAGGTCAGCGGGCCTAGCTTTAGAGTCATATACAACTTTCCGACTCCTTTGTCTGTAAGTTCCCTGAGGATAATCAAGTGTTTCATTTACAAAGGAACACAAAGCACTTCTTTTGCATTGTTTTTTTTTTTTTTAAAAAAAAAAAAAGAATCCTTCACTGATGCTTTTGTGTTCTGGCTTTGGGTCCAGTTTCAACTCTGCCTCTATCACCCATGAGTTTGGCAAATCCTTTGCCATCTTGGCCTCGTTGCCACACTTGTGTAATGAAGGGGCCCTGCTAGCTGCCCTTGAAGCCCATTCTAACTCAACAGTCCCTGATCCTCTGATAAAGTTGTCTAGTAGGAGGTTAAGAATGGTTTTGGGCAGAGTGGTTCTGGATATGAAAGGCCACAGTGGAATTTGTTTTTCAGGAGTGAGGAGGCCATCTTCTTGGTTGGGCCCCAAGGAAGAGCCTTGGGGGTGAGTCACGACCATCAGTAGGGTCTAGAACCTTGCTATGTAAGTGTGGTCCCCAGTTCAGCTATATCTCAAGGCTTCCCCAGATCAACTGGGTCAGAATCTGCATTTCAGCAAGATCCCCAGAGGACTGGTGGGCACCTTAAGCATTGGTCTACAGGGGAGAAACAAGAGGGAGAGATGGTGGGTGTCTCATTCTACCATTTCCCTCTAGATTTCTCTGTGACACAAACCTTGGATATATGACTCTGTATCATTTAGTTGTAGGCTCTCTTATTTTCTGTCAGAATCACTTCTAATATAGAAAGTGTTTTCCTCTTAAAATCCTGGTCATCAGTGTCATCCCAACCATCGGGCAATGACCAGCAAGCTATAAAGAAACTACTTAGAGCTACGTAGGTCTCCAGGCCTCTGGGCCCTATAATGAACAGCCGGAAATCACTAAGCTAGTGGATTGCAACCCTCGTTGCTTATTAGAATCACCAGGGAAGCTTTTCTAAAATACCTGTGTCTGGACCTCACCCCAGACCATTTAGACGAGACTCTCTGAGACTGAGGCTTTGGTGTTCTTTCTCCCCCCGCCCAAAGGATTTTTCACATGATTCTAATGTGCACTGAGCGTTGCCAACCGCTTCTCTGAGATTTGAGTGACCGTTTATGAGGTGTGAACAAGATTTATAAAACTAAATAACCATGAAAATGTTAAAGGTATTCTTTCTATCACCAGTTCTCATTGTAAACCTCCCCCAAGCACGCACTTGACTTCTTTCCCTATGCCCTGATATATAGGTGTTAAGACATCCATGCCAGTCACCTAGAAAGGATTTTGTTTGTTCCGACAGCTGGACCATATTTTAGATAATTAAGCCTGATGATCAAGTGAGCCCAGGAGTAAAGGGATGGTATGGCCTTTCTCCCAGGGGATGAAATTTTATCTGTAGATTAATGGAGAGTGTGGGAAGGATATTCCAAGTGGAACTCGGGGACTGATCATAGCCACTGCATGGCTACTAGCTCTCTCTTCACACTTAACAGAATTTTCTTTCTGTTTTAAACATTTTTCAAACCTCAAGGTGTGTATGAGGATCTTGTTAAAATGATTCGAATTCAATAGGATTGGGTTGAGACTCGGCATTTCCAACAAGGTCCAAGGTGAGCCTGAGGCTGATGGTCTGTGAACCACCTCTGGGTAGCAAAGGCCTGTACTAACCCAATACACACACCACACACATGCAAAAGACACCCATAGCCCTAACTCAAAATGCACCAAATAGTTGACCCTGACAAGTTGGGGGAGTGAGCAGCATGTAGGAGAATTGCAATGGACACTGAACTAGAAATGACGCATCCATTTGCCCTGATGAGTTAAAGTTTACCTAAGTTGTATCAGAAATATTTCTCAACCCTGGGATTATTCTATGCTTTGGGTATTATGCTCACAGTGTGGCGGGTCCTACATATCGGCTTGTTCCTGGTTCTTCCACCTCAATTATTCTTCAGTTTAATTTGATTGCATTAGTTTGGCCTCAGAAAAATATTTCACATATCTCTTTATTCCTTCCAGAAAACTGGTTCATAATCTTCATGCTTCTAATATATATAAGCTGAGATAAATAGATTAACTAGGTACCGCTTTCAGCTTCGACACTGAAAATTTCCTCTATACCATTTATCCGATAACTCTTGACCTAGATTTTCAATTTTAGGATATTTTATTTTTTTTCCAAGAAAGTATTCTTATACCCTTCAGATGAATACCCACAAGTAGGATTGCTGGATCATATGCTAGTTGTATTTTCAATATTTATTTTTTTAATTATTAATAAATTTCTTTATTTTTTAGATTTATATATATATATTTAATTTCTGTACAATTAACATACAATGTTATATTGGTTTCAGATGTATAATATAGTGATTCAATAATTCCATACATTACTCAGTGCTCATCGCAATACGTGCACTCTTCATCTCCTTCACCTGTTTTGCCCATCCCCTTCCCTAGTAATCATCAGTTTGTTCTCTATAGTTAAGAGTCTGCCCTTTTGTCTCTTTATTTCTTTGTTTTGTTCCTTAAATTCCACATATAAGTGTAACCATATGGCATTTGTCTTCCTCTAACTGCATACTTCACTTAGCATTATACCCTCTAGTTCCATCCGTGTTGTTGCAAATGGCAAGATTTTATTCTTTTTTATGGCTGAGTAATATTCTATTGCATATCTAGACCACATCTTCTTTATCCATTCATCTATCAGTGGACATTTGGGCTGCTTCCATAATTTGACCATTGTAAATAATGCTGTAATAAACATTGGGGTGCATGTATCTTTTCAAATTAGCATTTTCTTATTCTTTGGGTAAATACCCAATAGTGTGATTCCTGGATCATATAGTAATTCTTTCATTTTTTGAGGAAACTCCTTACTGTTTTCTACAGTGGATACACCAGGTTGCCTTCCTACCAATAGCGCACCAGAGGGTTCTTTTTTTCTCCACATCCTTGCCAACACTTTTGTTTCTTGTGTTTTTGACTTTAGCCATTCTGACAGGTGTGACGTGATATCTCACTGTGGGTTT